GGTGGTGACTTACCTCGTGGTCCTCTCTGTGTAGTAGCAGGTTGTGTTTCAGAGTTCCCTTGAGGTTTCAGGAGGAATTGGAAGGTTTAGGGGCAGAGTAAGACTTGTAGCTTTCAGGGTCCAGTGGATGGGATGGGAGTATTGGAGCAGCTTACTTGCACGAAACTCACTTGCTTGCTGGCTAGATAAATGGGGGCATTGGAGGAATGGCTAAGGTTTTGCACTGTATGGAGGACCCAGAGACTCAACCAAGAAAAAGAATTACAGACCAGTCTCACTCATGAACATTGATGCAAAAATACTCAATAAAATACTGGCAAATTGAATCCAAGAACACATCAAAAAATCATTTACCATGATCAAGACCGTTTCATCTTAGAGATGCAGAGATGGTTCAACATACAAAAAAAAACCCATTAATGTAATCCACCCTATAAATAAACTGAAAAATAACATATATGATTTTCTTGTTAGATGTTGGAAAAAAAATTCCACAAAATCCAACACCCATTCATGATAAAATTCTGAGAGATCAGAGGTACAAGGAACATATCTAAACATATATAAAGCAATATAAAACAAACCAGCAGCCAATATCAAATTAAATGGAGAGAAACTCAAAGCAATTCCACTAAAATCAGGAACAAGACAAGGCTTTCCACTCTGTCCATATCTTTTCAACATAGTTCTTGAAGTTCTGGCTAGAGAAATATGAAAACAAAAGGAAATAAAGGGGATTCAGATTGTAAAGGAAGAAGTCAAACTTAGCTATCTGCAGAAGATATGATAGTATACATTAGTGACCCAAAACCTCTACTAGTGAACTCATACAGTTAATAAATACCTTCAATAATGTGGCAAGATACATGATCAAATAAAAAAAATCAGTAACCTTCCTATGAATAAATGATAAAGAAGCTTAGAAAGAAATCAGAGAAACACTACCATTCACAAAACACACAAATAACATAAAATATCTTGGGGTAACACTAACCAAAGAAGTGAAAGACTTGTTTGACAAGAACTTTAAGTCTTTGAAGAAACAAATTGAAGAAGATACCAGAAAATGGAAGATCTCCCATGCTCTTGGATAGGTAGGATCAACAAAATAAAAATGACAATCCTACCAAAAGCAATCTAAAGATTCAATGCAATCCCATCAAAATTCCAACACAACTCTTCACAGAATAATACCGCACTTCATATGGAAAAACAAAAATGTGGGATAGCCAAAACAATCTGTGAAATAAAGGAACTTCCAGAGGCATCACCATCCCTGACATCAAGCTCTATTATAGAGCTACAGTAATGAAAACAGCATGGTATTGGCATAAATAGACAGGTAGACCAATGAAATTAAATTGAAGAACCCGATATTAATCCACACACCTATGAACACGTGACTTTTAACAAAGAATCTAAAATTATACAATGGAAAAAAGAAAGCATCTTCAACAAATGGTTCTGGCATTACTATATGTAAACATGTAGAAGAATGCAAATAGACCCATATCTATCCCCATGCACAAAACTCAAGTCCAGATGGATAAAAGACCTCAGTATAAATCTGACCACACTGAACCTGATAGAAGAGAAAGTGTAAATAGCCTTCAATGCATGGGCACAGGAGACCACTTCCTATATAGAACACCAGTTGACCAGGCACTGAGAGCAGCAATAAATAAATGGGGCCTTCAGAAATTGAAAATCTTCTATAAATCAAAGGACATGGTCAATAAGATAAAAAGGCAGCCAACTGGCTTGGAAAAGATCTTCACCAACCCCACATCAGACAGAGGATTGATATCCAAAATATATATAAAAAATTAGACATTAAAATTCCAAATAATCCAATTAAAAAATGGTGTATAGAACTAAACAGAGAATTCTAAACAGAAGTATCTCAAATGACCAAAAGACACTTATTGAAATGTTCAATAGTCTTAGTCATCAGGAAAATGCAAATCAAAACAACTCTGAGATACCATCTCACACCAGTCAGATTGGCTAAGATCAAAATCACCAATGATAGCTTGTGCTGGGGAGGGTGTGGAGTAAGGGGAACACTCCTCCATTACTGGTGGAAGTGCAAACTTATACAACCATTCTGAATTCAGTTTGGTGGTTTCTAGATAACTGGGTATCAACCTGCATCAGGACCCAGCAATATCACTCGGGCATATACTCGAAGGATGCTCAATCATACCACAAGGACATTTGTTCAACTCTCTTCATAGCAGCATTATTTGTAATAGCCAGAACCTGAAAACAGCTTAAATGTTCCTCAAAGGTAGAATGTATAAAGAAAATGTGGCACATTTACACATTAGAGTACTACTCAGCAGTTAAAAAAAATGACATCTTGAAATTTACATGCAAATGGATGGAACTAGAAAAAACTATCCTGAGTGAGGTAACCCAGATGCAGAAAGATAAACATGGTATGTCCTCACTCATAAGTGGATACAAGCTGTAAAGCAAAGGATATTGAACCTATAGTTCATGATCTTATTGAAGCTAAGTAACAAGGTGAACCCTAAGAAAAACATACATAGATCTACCTGAAAAGGGGAAATAGACAAGATCACCTGACAAAATGGGGGCATAGGGATGGGGGGAAGAAAGGACAGAGAGGAAAAGGAGGGGAGAAGGGGAGGGGGAGGAGACCTTGAGGGAAAGGAATAGTCGAGATGGAGAAAGGACAGAGATGAGAGCAAGGAAAGAGATATTTTAATTGAGGGAGCCATTATGGGGCTAGCAAGAAACATGACACAAGAGAAATTCCCAGGAATCCACAAGGATGACCCCAGCTAAGACACTAAGCAATAGAGCCAACTGGCCTTGCTCTGTAATCAGACTGATGAATATCTTAAATATCACCTTAGAACCTTCATCTAGCAACTTATGGAAACAGAGGCAGAGACTTGCAGTGGAGCACTGGGCTGAGCTCCCAAAGTCCAGATGAAGAATGGGAGGAGTGAGAATATGAGCAAAGAGGTCAAGACCATGATGGGGACACCCACTGACTGAAACAGTTTACCTGAGCTAATGAGAGCTCACCAACTTTAGCCAGACAGAGAAAGAACCAGCTTATTTTCAAACTAGTCCCTCTGAATGTGGGTGACAGTTGTATGACTGGGGAAGACTGTGGGGCCACTGGCAGTGGCACCAGGATCTATCCCTACTGCTTGTACTGGCTTTCTGGGTGCCCATTCTCTTTAGATGGATATCTTGCTCAGCCTATATATAGTAGGGAGGGGCTTCGACCTCCCCAAAGCATTGTGCTTACACTCTCTGAAGAGTGGATGGGGGGGCAGTGAGAGAGAGTTGGAGGTAATGGGAGGAGGGAAGGGAATGGGAACTGGGTTTGGTATGTAAAATGAAAAAAGATTTTCTTTTAAAAAGAAAAGAAAAAAATAAACTGAATATTCACAAAATTGTTGAGCTCAGCAGCGTTTAGATGTTAGTCAGAAAACAATGTTTACCCACAACTGTTCATTGTAGTCATTGGCTTACTCCCTTGTAAGACTCTGTGAATGATTCTGTAAAGTATCCCACTCCTTTCCTCTGTGTTAATCAATGAGACACACACACACACACACACGCACACACACACACACACACACAGGGGCAGACTCATGAGACAGACTTCTCTAGACAGGCACAGATTCAGATTCATGCAACTGAGGACAGAGACACAGGGAGCATTGAGCAGAGAATTCAAATCTAGATGTGCTCTTGGTTAAATGATTCTAAGCGAATGGGCTCCTATTTCTTTCCTTATATAACACTGATGCACTGACAGCGACTCAGAGTTAGTTGCTAATGTGTTTAATCCTCTCAATAGACCCTAGGAGAGAACCTCTATTGTTTGGTTTTAATGGCATGGTATCAACTTGCCTTCTAAATACTTAACATTTATAACTGTATAGTGGGGTATCTATCATCCCTCATCAGAGAGACGTATCTATGCAGTGAGCTGTGGTGAATGCAGACTCACAACTGGCCAAGATACAAAGGATGCATATATGTCTAGTGCTCAGCCCTCAACACAATAGCTATATCACACCCTCCAAGATTCAGGGACTACTTTTGAACACGGAGGCAGAGGTTGTAGATAAATACTGAGAAATGGTGTACACTACACAATGACCACATTCATGTGATCATCTATACAAGACCTCCATAAACCTGGACCATCGTTTCATCATGCATAGGAATGGGCTCATAAGGCCCCATCCCTCAGTGAGGTACTAGGGCCGATTAATAGGTGATGGGAGAAGGGATGTTGTAAAATTAAAAGAAGAGAAATTGCAAGTAAGTGGTCACACTTTAACTCTATCAATGAAGGACAACATTGCTCTTTTGCTGGCATTTTTATACACGTTTGAGTAGTTTGAGTATGTAATCCTCAACAAAGTTGGTTTTTGACTTGCAAATCAGTGAAAGTTATTGATGCCTGTTATGTCCAAAGGAAACTCCAAATCTCAAAGCTCTAAAAGCAGTCCACAGATTCAGAATTGAGTTCAACCTGGACTATTGGAGGATTTCTGCAGGTTATATAAAAAGCCAGCATTCCCCAGGAAGTTGTGAAACTGTTTCCCCCTCTACCAAAAGGAGACATTTTCACTTATGACCAGCTGGAAGGACAAATGGCTCCCTGTGCTCCCCATTAGCATACCACAACTCACACTGGCCTCCAGGCTCCTTTAGTATCACAGGGACCTGCTACACAATTCAGAATGTGAAAGCCATTCTCACTTTCTATCCCCCTAAACTACTTCCAGTTCACAGACTTATCATTCCCCTTATAACCCTTCTCTCTCTCTCTCTCTCTCTCTCTCTCTCTCTCTCTCTCTCTCTCTCTCTCTCTCTCTCTCTCCTACAATAAAAATCTTCCCCTTACATTACCATGGAGTAGTCATAGTGTCAGTTTATCTAATGTGAAAAAACAGTTTAAAATTTTTGCATAGTGTATTTAGTGTATTTTAATTGGAAACTATTAACAATTTGTGTGCAGATTTCAGTAAGTACAGTGTACTCTTTTAGAAAAATATTTTTTCCTTTAAAGTTTGTATGTGTTTTTCAGTTCTTTCTAATACAGATATTGAGGGAGAGATCTGGTCAGCTGTCCTCGTCATCTTAGACCATGAAACCCAATATGAACAAATTCAACAGAACTGCCATATATGGGCTGCCCATGAAGCCTCAGCATTGCCAGGGCATAAATTTCATTTCAATTTCAACATAGATATTAACTTGATTGCTTCAAGGTACTGTTGATCAACTGCAGCATCACCTATAAAGAAAAGAAAGAATTATTAGCAGTGTCATTAGGAACAATGGTGGCATCATCAGGATGGTTATAGGCAGCATCATCAGTACCATCATTGGTAGCATCTTATATAGATCATCAAATCATCGTGTCCAAGCAGGTGTGTGAACTGGAAGTTCCTTTTATTGTTGTTTTTTTTTCCTCATATGCTGCTTATTTTGGAGTGACTGTTTCCAAGATGATGTTATCCTCACAAGTCAGTGTATGGCCACAGAAAAGGCAGACACTGACTAGTATTTAACAACTATGTATCTATGTATATGCTTAGCCACTCAGAAACACAAAGTTATCACTGGGAGAGAAAACAATTCTCATTCTAGAATAGGAGGCAACCACAAGCCAACTAACATGACTTGGTCGGTTCTGGTGGACAGAACTAACTTTGTTATTTCATGTGGTATTTTTTAAATATATATGGGAATAAAAGAATAAGTTGTTTTCTGGTACCTGGTAAAGCCTATGTAGCCCTATGCGAAGCACGGAATTCATTAATCATAAGTATTAGTACCAAAGAGAATTAGTTTTCTAGGAGAAAATTAATCTATTTTAAACCACGGTATGTGGCCTGACGTATCCTGGATCATTCTTTCTACTGGAAGATTTTTGGTAATATTCTGCAGACCACCCATGCAGAATTTAGCGTCTCACCATGTCATCAGTCAACAACAATGGGAAGGGCAGAAACCAGATCTGTGTCAGTATCAAGTGGGAGAGTCAATTCAGCCTTGAAAGTCCTGCCCATGGCACCCGTTACCTGCATAACCAGCACAGGCAGCAGGAGCCGGTTCGACGTGTGCAGTAGCCCTCAGTGCAGCAATTCTATGCTCAAATGAGCTAAAATGGGGTGCATACAGATACCCTGAGGTCTTTTCTTCAACCTTTAAAGAAATATTGAGAAGTTACTTCTCATTAAACTGTTTACAATTTTATTCATTTTAACACTTGTCTGTTAATGTCACAGTTTTGATTTCAGTCCCCAAATCTTTATTGCTCAGTCTAATTTTAACATTACAGCCACTGATATCCTGTAACCTCTACTTCTTCTCTTTGAGTAAAAGGCCCTGGATTTTTAGAAAGCCCAAAAGAGGACTTGCTCAACTTTTGCCTTTCTTTCTCTGCTCTTTGCTACCCAACATCACCATCCTCTGTATAACAGGAAGACATAAAAAGAAGAGGACAAAAGGTGTCCTCTCCAAATGTTGTGACCTGAATTTTAGATCCCCGCTGATTAATGGGATGTGACAATGAGGAGCTTCAGCAACGAAAGGAACCTCTCCTTTCTGCACTGCAATAATCTTTTTCCCAGGGCCTTTCCCAGTTGTTCATTGGGACCCTTGAGAAAACCAGTGACCTGAACACGCGTGAACAAAGGTACATGAACAAAGCATGCCTCTACTAACAGCAGAGGGGAGTTGCTGAGCTGCAAGCATGGATTCTGGAGACACCTGCCCTCCTCTCACTCCTTAATCCAGACTTTTGCATGTGTGAGCAGTGGCCTATTCCAGCACCACTATGGTAGTTTGGATGAAACAAAACCCAATACATTCAAACATTTGAATGCTTGGTCTCATTGGGTGGAACTATTTTGAAAAGATTAGGAGGTGTGAATTTATTGGAAGGCATGTGTCACTGGGGTTGGGTATGTATGTGTGTGTGTGTATGTGTTTGTGTGTGCACCTGTGTGTACTATTCTACTGTGTGTGTGAAGAGCAGAGAACAACTTTCAGGAGCTGGCTCCCCCTTTCCTGGATGAATCAGGGTCTCTCATTGTTTTGCAGCTCAGTGTGTTCCAGTGTGACTGGCTTGTGAGTTTCAGAGCTAGTCACTGTTATTTGAATGAACATCATATTTCATTTGTATTTATTAACATATTTGCTAATTCTTTCAAAAGTGAATGACATGGTTTTAACCGTGACAAAGTACCCCTCATGTAAAACAATACTACCTCATTCTATCTAAAAATATTAAGCCTTGACTGTGGATACAAGCCTATTGTGTGAAGTTACATAATCAGCAACAAACAAACTTTAGTAAAAATAATAAAGAATAAAACACCAATTAAACTAAAAGCAAAACAAATGGACACACTATAGACTATATATGTTGCAGGGTTATATATACATATGTGGGGGTTCTATTTGTATGAGTGCAGTCTATCATGTTCCAGTGAACACATTGCATACAACTTTCATGATAATACTGACTTGCCATGTGGACCTACAGGATCAGATTTTTGAAAGCCTGCTCTATGGTTGTTGGGATACTTTAGGTGAGTATTCAGAGGGGTGACCTTGTTGGAGGAGGCATGTCACTTGACATGAGGGACATGTACAAAGCTGGGTCCTGTTGTCTGGACACTGTGCAGCACTGCAGACATGGGCTTGCAGATGTATGTTTGTCCTTAAACAAAATATACTGATTTTTAAAATTAGATTTACCTTTGATCTTGTTTTTTTCTTAGAGCCATGGGGTAGAGCTTCTTCCCTAGGGCAAACATTAGTTTCATATTTTCCAAGAACTTCACAAGTTCTCACTTTGAATTCTTTTTTAATGACTTCTGCAAGATGCACATACTGCAATTCACCATGCTCATGTTCTACTTTTTTCACTGTCTTGGTAGCAGGCTGCTCTGAATATAGGGACTTGCTGTCATATTTCTTCTTTAGTTTTTGTTCTGTAGATATTTTCTGAATAAGAGGGGGTGGGATGTTTTCAAAATGACTCTGACATTACATACTACAATGTTTGGATGAGGAAAAAGTTAAATATATTCATACACGTTTTGCTACTTATGGCATCACTAGCTATCTCCTGTGACCTCAGAGGATCCCTAGACACAGAATGTACCAAAAGTTTAGTGAGCTGCTCCCTGGATGGACAGCCCAGTCATGAGGCTCTAGGCCATAGGGCAAAACCCCAGGATGCTCCCCCATCTGCCACAACTTCACTAGCTAGCTGGCTGACAGGAATGTTTCCTGCAGGTAGGCTGCTCCAGATCCCCCATCAATCAGACAGACCCTGCAATCCAAAAGTCCCACTGGACCCTCAAACCCATCCATCTCCTGTGAACTCAGAAGATCTCTGAGGCACAAAATGCAACTGCACAGAGCAGACCAAGAGGTGAATGACCAGTTGCCTGCTGGAAAGCCAGTATCTAGGCCCTAGAACTCAGGGCTAAACCCTGGACCCCTCTTCCACCTACCTCAGCTTCCCTAGGAAGCCAGCAGGCCACCTGCAGGCAGGCTGGTCCAACACCCCACCATTGATCAGACCCTGTACTCTACAAGTCCCACTCCACTCCCAAACTCACCCATTCCCAGAGAACTCAGTGGCATCCTGAGATACAGAAAGCAATTGCATGGAGCCAACCAAGAGCAGCTCCCCAAGACACAGAGAGTAACTGCAATGATCAGTCAAGAAAGGATCCCTGAGACACAGACACCAACTGTAAGGACTGAAGCACGAGGCAAAAACACCGCCTGCACCAACTGGAAAGAGAGATGGGTAGGCACCAATACAAGAATACATTCAACAACCTAAAATACAACATGGTGACACCGGATCACAGTGGTCGTATGATAGGAAGACCTGAATATCCTAATGCAGAAAAGGCAGAAGAAAACGACATTAAATATAACTTTATGAAGATGATAGAATCCCTTAAAGAGGAAATGAAAAGTTCCCTTAAAGAAATAGAGGAAAAGACAAATAAAAAAAATGTGAGAAATTAGTAAATCTCTTAAAGAAACCCAAGAAAACTAAGAAAAAAACAAACAGGTGAAGCAAACAGTTCAAGACTAGAAAATTGAAATAGAAGCAATAAAGAAAACACATTTCAAGGGAATTCTGAAAATGGGGAAACAAACAGGGACTACATATGCAATCATAACCAAAAGAATTCAGGAGAGGGAAGAAAGAATCCCAGACATTGAAGATATGATAGAGGAAATAGATTCATTGGCAAAAGAAAATGTTAAATCCAAAAAATTCTTAACATAAATCTGGGACACCATGAAAAATCCAAACCTCAGAATAAAAGGAAAAACAGGAGGAGAACTTCAGCTCAAAGGCACAGAAAATATATTCAACAAGATCATAGAAGAAAATTTTCCCAACCTAAAGAAGAATATCCCAATGAAGGTACAAAAAGTTTATAGAACATAAAATAGACTGGACCCTTAAAAGTATATCACCTTGACATATAATAATCAAAACACTAAACATATGGAATAAAGAAAGAATATTAAGAGTTGCAAAGGAAAAAGGCCAAGTAGTATATAAAGGCAGACCCATTAGAATTATACCCTATTTATCCATGAAACTCTGAAAGCAAGAAGGTCCTCGACAGATGTGCTGCAGACACTAAGAGAACATGGATACAACCCCAGACTATTATACAAACAAAGCTATCAATCACCATTGGTGGAGAAAATGAGATAGTCCATGACAAAACCAGATTTAAACAATACCTATCCACAAACTCAGGTTTACTGAAAGTACTAGAAGGAAAACTTTAACCAAAGTAAACACAGGCAACAGATAACTTCACATCAGTAAAACCCCAGAGAAGGGAAACACAAAAATGTTTTCACCAAAAAATAGCAAGAATTAACAATCACTGGTCTTTTAAATCAATGGAGTCAATTCACCTATAAAATGACACAGGTTAAGAGAATGGATATGAAAAGAGAATCTATCCTTCGGCTGCATACAAGAAACACACCTCAACCTCAACAACAGATGTTACCTCAGAGTAAAGGGTCGGAAAAAGATTTTCTAATCAAATGAACCTCAGAAACAAGTGGGTTTAGCTATCCTATTATCCAACAAAATAGACTTCAAACTAAAATAAAAAGAGATGGAGAAGGATACTTCATACTCATCAAAGGAAAAATTCAGCAAGATGCAGTCTCAATCCTGAACATCTATGCCCCAAATAAAAGAGCACCCTCATATGTAAAAGAAACATTACTAAAGATTAAATCACACATCAAACCCCACACACTAATAGCAGAAGATACGAACACTCCACTCTCACCAAAAAACCGTTCAGCTAGACAGAAACTTAACAGAGAAATTAAGGAGCTAACAGATGCCATGACTCAAATGGACTTAACAGATATCTATAGGCCATTTTATTCCAATACAAAAGAATATACCTTCTTATCAGCACCTCATGGGACCTCCTCTAAAATTGTCCACATACTTGGTAACAAAACAAACATCAACAGATCCAAAAAATTGGACGATCCCCCTGTGTCTTATCAAAGTACCAACGCTAAAAGTTAGAATTCAACAACAGTACTAATTGCAGGAAGCCTACAAACTCCTGGAAATTGAACAGTGTTGGGTCAAGGAAGAAATAAAGAATGAAATTAAAGACTTCCTAGAATTCAACAAAAATGAATGCACAATATACCCAAACCTGTGGGACACTATGAAAGCAGTGCTAAGAGAAAAGCTCATAGTAATAAGCACCTACATAAAAAAAAGTGGGGAAATCAAAGTGATTTATCGACACACCTGAAAGTTCTAGAACAACAAGAAGCAGACTCACACAGCAGGAGTAGAAGACAACAAATAATCAAATAAAATAGCAACTAAGAAAACAATACAAAGAATCAATGAAACAAAGAGCTGTTTCTTTGAGAAAAATCAACAAGATAGACAATCCAAATTAATCAAAAGGCTGAAAGAGAACATCCAAATTAACAAAATCAGAAATTAAAAGGAGGATATAACAACAGACACTGAAGAAATCCAGAGAAACATTAGGTCACACTTCAAAAACCTGTACTCCACAAAACTGGAAAATCTAAAGAAAGGAACAACTTTTGAATAGGTACCACATGTTAAATCAAGACTAGAGAAACAATTTAAATAGAACTATAGCCCCAAAGGAAATAGAACCAGTCATCAAAAGTCTCCCAATTAATAAAAGCCAAGACCCCATTGGTTTTATTGCAGAATTCTACCAGAACTTCAAAGAAGAGCTAATACCTATACCCCTACAATTATTGCACAGAATAGAAAGCAAAGGAAAATTGCCCAACTCTTTTTTTGAGGTCACAGTTACTATGATACCCAAGTCACACAAAAACTTAATTAAGAAAGAGAATCACAGACCAGTCTCCCTAATGAACACTGATGCAATAATATCTAACAAAATATTGGCAAACCTCAGCTAAGCAATAGTGGAGAGGGTTCCTGAACTGGCCTTTCCCAGCAATCAGTTTGATGACTATCTTAATCGTCATCACAGAACCTTCATTCAGCAACTGATGGAAGCACATGCAGGGATTCACAGTGAAGCACTGGGTTGAGCTCCCTAAGTCCAGTCAAAGGGAGAAAGGATATGAGAAAAGGGGTCAAGACCATGATGGGAAAACTCACTGAAACAGTTTACCTGAACTAATAGGAGCTCACTGATTCTGAGCTGACAGTGGGGGAAGCAGTATAGAACCAAAAGAAATCCTCTAAATGTGGGTGATAGTGGACTGTTACAGTCTGTGGGGCCACAGACAGTGGGGCCAGGGTTTATCCCTACTGCTTGAAGTGGCTTTTTGGAGTCCATCGTTTTTGAGGGATACCTTGCTCAGCCTAGATATAGTGGGGAGGGCCTTGGTTCTGACTCAAAGAATGTGCTTGACTTCCCTATGGGAAGCCTTACCCTCTCTGAGGAGTGGGGTGATGTGTAGGGTGGGTGGGAAGATAGAGGGAACAGGGGGAGAAGGGGAACAGTGGGAATTGAGATTGGTATGTACAATTTCAATTAAATTTTTAAAAAAATAATGAAGAATAAGAGAGGCAGAAAAGCCTGAGTTCCAGTTGCCTGATAACATAGGACTGTCCATTAGAATCACGTACTGTTTTTAAAGTCACAAGACTACTATCTTTGAGTTATGGAAACCACAATCCTTTTGGTGTACTAGATTTAGGCACATGTCTAACACTTAATTCCCAGGTCATTACAATTTGCTTATGATGCTATTTGCATATAAAGTATATTAGTACCTCTCATTCAACTGAAAATCTTGCAGAGGTCTTTATATTATTTTCTGTATTATTATTCAATAAGAAGTCTCACCTTGAAGTCATATTTGTTATATTTGTTATAGTCTGATCTTTTCACTTAAGCACAAGAAGGTGAATTGGAAGAGTCCCGGGAACAGGGAAGAGCAGGGTATGTGAAAGGTTGGGGTCCTGTTGTCTAGATGCTCTCTGTAGCCCAGCAGACAAGGACTCACAGATGTATAGTAGAAAAAGACAAGAACTCCTGAGTAAATTGGGAGCATGGGGAACTTGGGGGAGCGTTGAAGGGGAATGAAGAGACAGGGAGGGGAGCAGAGAAAAATGTAGAGTTCGATAACAATCAATAAAAAAAAGTAAAAAAAAAAATTAAGGATAGGGCCAGTTCAGGAGCCCTCTCCTCAGAGGGGTGCGCTCACCCACTAAAATGATGGGGCTGATCTAATGGGAGCTCACCAAGGCCAGCTGGACTGGGACTGATGGAGCATGTGATCAAACCGAACTCTCTGAACATGACTGACAATGAGGACTGACTGAGAAGCCAAGGACAATGGCACTGGGTTTTGATTCTACTGCATGGACTGGCTTTGTGAGAGCCTAGTCTGTTTGGAAGCTCACCTTCCTAGACCTGGATGGAGGGTGGAGGACCTTGGACTTCCCACAGGACAGGGAATCCTGACCGCTCTTTGGACTGGAGAGGGAATGAGGGGAGTGGGGAAGGGGAAGGGAAATGGGAGGAAGTGGAAATTTTTAATAAAATAAAATAAAATGATAAAAAATTAAGAAATTACCCTTAACTGTTTTCTTCCTTTAAAGGTATGAGGTAGTTCTTTCTTCATACATGTATCACATGTATATTTTTCAAGAATTTCACAAAAATTTTCTTTTAAATCTTCTTTGATGAGATCCTTTAGAGGCGTACAGTGGGAATCATTCTGGCCATCCACACTTTCCTCCTCTGTTTGCACCACGGACTTTCCTGAATGTGCAGGGGCACTGTCATGGGCACCTTTAGAGTTTTTCTTTGTTTCTTGTTCCGGGGCAGTTCTCTGCAGGAGGGAAGGTGGAGGCTTCATTTGCTTGGTTTCCTAGCAGAAGTTTTCTTATCTTTAGGTGCTTATTTTAAAATTATCTTTATAAGTTACAAGTTATAGACCCTGAGGAAGTAAAAAGTGTTCAATACTTAACAGTTAAACTTCTTCACATATGCCCATTTTGTCTCAAATCACTAGGCTATCACTAGGAACTGAAAATAAATCACTTTCTCGTAGAACTGACTATAAATCATGAACCCATGATTTTTGTCAGTGTTGATTGGAATACTTATGTCATGATGTGTCACACATCCACAAACATGAATTAGATAAGATGTAACATGTAAAATCAAGTCTCACAACTAAAGGTTTGACCTTGCATGCATATTTCTTCTGAGAACTTGTAATACTACCACCCAAGAGTGTTTAATAAACAATAATTCTCTTCCTCAAATTAATAATAGATTTCAAATTAATGACTATCTGTCTTAAACTATACATGTAAATGGAAGAAAATGAATATTAAAGTATTACATAGCTTTTGTACTTCATTTAAATAACTTTAACTGAATTTTTTTTTAATTTTAGCACACTTACAGGATTTTTTTCTCAAAAATGGACATAGGTAAAGTTTAAGTGTTAAGTATTGAACACTTTTTACTTTCTCAGGGTCTAAAACTTGTGTCTTAAGGGGTAAAGTCATATATTATTTCTAACTGTACATATTAGATTTGATTTGAGATCACAGACAGTAGGAGCAGAGATATTTAGTGTGTCAACAGCAAGAGACACACAATTATATGAAATCAGCCGCTTCTAAAAAAAGGAGAAGCAGTTGCTAATAAAGCTTTGGGGACAATAATTAGTGAATAAAGTTACAAACATCTATTGCACAGAGGCAGAAACCAAAAACAGAAATGGATGTGTAAGAAATATCAAGTGTGTTCTTCAAAAATAGTTTAGTATCAGCGTGAAACATTTATTTATTTATTTATAAAAAATTCCACTTCCTCCCCTCCTCCCAATACCCTCCCACTCCCTGCACTCTTTCTCACCCTCCATCTCCAGTACAAAGAGCAGTCAGGGTTCCCTGCCCTGTGGGAAGTCCAAGGTCCTCCACCCTCCATCCAGGTCTAGGAAGGTGAGCATCCAAACAGACTAGGCTCCCACAAAGCCAGTACATGCAGTAGAATCAAAACCCAGTGCCATTGTCCTTGGCTTCTCAGTCAGCCCTCATTGTCGGCCACATTCAGAGAGTCTGGTTTGATCACATGCCCCATCAGTCCCAGTCCAGCTGGCCTTGATGAGCTCCCATTAGATCAGTCCCAGCATCTCCAGGGGTGTACCAGCCTCTCGCGGTCCTGACTTCCTTGCTCATGTTCTCCCTCCTTCTGCTCCTCATTTGGACCTTGGGAGCTCAGTCTAGTGCTCCAATGTGGGTCTCTGTCTCTATCTCCATCCATCGCCGGATGAAGGTTCTATGGTGATATGCAAGATATTCGTCAGTGTGGCTATAGGATAAGGCGAGTTCAGGCACCCTCTCCTCTGCTGCCCACGGAACTAGTTGGAGAAGTCCCCTTGGACACCTGGGAGCCCCTCTGGAGCCAAGACTCTAGCCAACCCTAAAATGGCTCCCTTGGTTAGGATAACTTCTTCCCTGCTCCCATATCCACCCTTTCTACATCTCATCCCATTCCCCCAAGTTCTCCCCAATCCTCCCCTTCTCCCTTCTCTCTCCCCATCTCCCCTTCCCCCCAATTCATCCCCATCCCCTGCTCCCAACTTTTGCCCAATAATCTTGTCAACTTCCAATAACCCGGAGGATAAACATGTGTTTTTCTTTGGGTTCACCTTCTTATTTAGCTTCTCCAGGATCACAAACTATGGCCTCAATGTCCTTTATTTATGACTAGAATCCACTTATGAGTGAGTACATACCATATTCCTCTTTTGGGGTCTGGGTTACCTCACTTAGGATAGTGCTTTCTATTTCCATCCATTTGCATGCAAAGTTCAAGATATCATTTTTTTTAACCACTGAGTAGAACTCTAAAGTATATATATGCCACACCTTCTTTATCCATTCTTCTGTTGAGGGGCACCTAGGTTGTTTCCAGGTTCTGTCTATTACAAATAGTGCTGCTATGAACATAGTTGAACAAATGCTTTTGTAGTATGATTGGGCATCTCTTGGGTATATTCCCAGGAGTGGTATTGATGGATCCTGAGGTAGGCTGACTCCCAGTTTCCTAAGAAACCGCAACACTGATTTCCAAAGTGGTTGCACAAGTTTGCATTCCCACCAACAATGGATGAGTGTTCCCCTTACTCCACATCCTCTCCAGTATAGGCTATCATTGATGTTTTTGATTTTAGCCATTCTGACAGGTGTAAGATGTTATATCAAAATTGTTTTGATTTGCATTTCCCTGATCACTAAGGAGGTTGAGCATGACCTTAAGTGTCTTTTGGCTATTTGAACTTCTTCTGTTGAGAATTCTCTGTTCAGCTAACTGTCCCATTTTTAAATTGGGTTAATTAGAGTTTTAAAGTCTAGTTTCTTGAGTTCTTTATATATTTTGAAGATCAGACCTTTGTCTGATGCAGGATTGGTGAAGATCTCCCATTCAGTAGGTTGCCTTTTTGTCTTAATGACAAAATGCTCTTTATTCTGTATGTTTTGTGTTTTGATTATTATATGGCAAGGGGATTTTTTTTTGATCCAGTCTATTCGGTGTTCTGTATGCTTCTTGTGCTTTCATAGGAATATCCTTCTTTAGGTTGGGAAAGTTTTCTTCCATAATTTTGCTGAATATATTTTCTGGGCCTTTGAGCTGTAATTCTTCTCCTCCTTCTATCCCTATTATTCTTAGGTTTGGTCTTTTCACGGTGTCCCAGATTTCCTGGATGTTTTGTGTTAAGAATTTGTTGGATTTGTTATTTTCTTTAATCAATGAGTTTATTTCCTCTATAGTATCTTCGGTGTCTGAGATTCTTTCTTCTATGTCTTGTATTCTGTTGGTTATGCTTGCCTCTAGTTCCTGATCGATTACCCACATTTTCCATATCCAGCCTTCCCTTGGTTTGTGTTTTCTCCATTACCTCCATTTCATTTTTCAAGTCTTGAACTGTTTCCATTACCTGTTTGATTGCTTTATCGTGGTTTTCTTGGGTATCTTTGAGAGATTTATTCATTTCTTCTACTTTTTTGTTTGTCTTCTCCACTTCTTTACAGCAGTTTTTCACCTCCTGTTTAAGGTCCTCTATCATTTTCATAACGTTAAGGTTAAAGTCAATTTCTTCTATTTCTTCTGGAATAGGGTGTTCAAGTCTTCTTGTTGTGTGATCCCTGGAATCTGGTGTTGTCATGTTGCCTTTCAGGTTGTTGGAGGAATTCTTTCATTGACGCCTGCCCATCTCTTCCTTCAAGTTCAGCCAGGAGATTCTTGGTGTCTTGGTCCAATCTATGTTGTGACTGACTCTGGGTGGATCTTCTCAGTGCAGGAACAGGAACTGTTCCCCTTTGGGTGGATAGCCTCAGTGCAGGAGTGGGCACTGTTCCTGGGCCAAGGACTCTGCAGCCAATAGGGCAGGCTTGGGGGAGGGGGTGGGCAGGGATGTGTAGAACAAAGAAGCCCCTGCAGCAGGAGTTGAAGGGGCCCAGTGCTCCTTTCCCAGATGTTCCGCCCTGCCCCGGGATGGCACCCACTCACCGGTCTGAAAAGTTGTCCTCAGCACAGGGACAGAACTCTTGGAGGAAGGACCCCACAGACAAAAGGGTGAACTTGGTGGGGAGGGGAGAGTTGTGCCAGCATGAAATATTTTTAAAAGGCTAGGAAGGAGGGTCAAGCAAATAGAACCCTCTGTCCAAAGGACAGCAAACAGCAGGAACAATGAACAGAGTTTTTATTTCAAACTACACATTGTGAACATGTTATGCATGTATATGGTCTAGCTGTGCTACGACAAGTTCTAATGCAGTCTACTGTCCTCTTGTGACAGGGAAATCAATGATAGAATAAAACCCTAATTGCAAAGGTTCCATTCTGGTGAATGGTTCTCTTTCTCAGCATTGGGGTTGATTCAGGAACTTGTTCTCTCTGTCAGCAGAGAAAGATTAAAACCATAGAGCTTATCCCCAGCTGGTACTTAAAGGAATGGCTGGAGACCAGAACCTCTCCTGTGGAGGGCCAGAAATGTGAGCATGTTCCTCCTTGTCTGAAGGTCAGAGAGTTTTAGCTTGCTCAAAATTGTTGCCAATCCACCCTGAGCAAAGGACAGAGAGTTGGAACTTACATCCGTCTTTCAGGGTTATAGTCTGTTTCTACCTCAAAAAAACAAAACAAAACAACACAAAAAAGTCCCACCTAAATATAGAACAGAGAGTTCTGCTCTCACAAGGTTATTGTCAACAGGTATGGCTAATATCCAAACCTTCTATTTCAGGAATAGAGAAGTAGATATATTTCTATACTCCAAACAAGTTACTACTCCCTTAAGGAGATAACAATGGATCCCACCCAGGGAGTAGTTAGCCTACAGAATATTTGGTCTAGGGTGTGAATGTTACTTAAGTTGTCATAGCAACAGAATGTTTAACTAAGACCATAGCCCACAACCTTCAACTGGTATGTTCATTTCCTTGTATCATGTTAATACACTTTTCCATCTTATTCCTCCCCTTTGAGTTGGGTATTTAAGCAAATGGAAATTAAGTGTGGGTGATTTGAGTATTGACTTGAACTCCCTCCCAGTACTACCCTATGTTTTAAGTTTTATTATTTTTACTCATGTTGTCATTCTCTTTGCTATTTTTCTGATCCCTATAGCCCTACCCTGGTAAGTGGCATTTTTGTCGAAGCTGGTCTCTGACACTCCCAACTTCAGTGTTTCAGCACTATCGAATGGATCGGAGAAAACAGCACATGACAGAGCAAAATGACAGCAGACAAGTTTCAGAGAATGGAAGAAATAACGTTGCCTAAAATTAAGACACTCAGAGGGTTTACTACACAGCACTCTATTCGTGCATGAGAAGAGGAGGTGGCCTAACTTGGAAAATAATTTAAGAAGATAAACATTTGGAAAGTATGATAAATCTATAATTATGGCTGCAAATACACAGAAGTCTGAAGTAAGAGAGAAGAAATAGCTCTAATGCAACTCTATAGTCTGTCTATACCTGTTGACACGCAGGGCCGTTTTACTTGAGTCATGTGTTTTATTTCTTTGAAATATATAAAACAATGTCTTTTCTCTTCTTAGACATCAGTATCCATTTATTACATAATTTCATAATTGTACTTTTATTTATACTCTTACAATGGCATATTATCTAACAGGTCTGTTCTTTTCCTGTCAACGGTAACTACTCTCTGGTTTGATATTTTTCTTTATTTATGTACTATTTCAAGAATTGTGCTCCCAGACTGAGCCCCCCAAGGTCCAAATGAGGAGCAGAAGGAGGAAGAACATGAAAAAGGAAATCAGGACCGCGAGGGGTGCGATCACCCACTGATACAAGGGGACTGATCTAAGGAGAGTTCACCAAGGCCAGTTGGACTGGGACTGAACGAGCACGTGATCCAACCAGATTCTATGAATGTGGCCGAATTCTCTGAATGTGGCTGGCCCGGAGTCTTTCTGAAAAGCCATTGACAATGACACTGGGACTTGTTTCCTCTGCATATACTGGATTTTTGGGATCCAGTCTGTTTGGATACTCACCTTCCTGGACCTGAAGGGAGTGGGGAGGAACTTGAACTTCCCACAGGGCAGTAAACCCTGACTGCTCTTAGGGATGGAGAGGGAGTGGGGGGAGTGGGAGGGTGTTGGGAGGAGGGGCGGAAATGATGGAAACTTTTATAATTTAATAAACTTTGGGAAAAAAAAGAATTGTGCTCATTTGTATTAACAGAATGTTTACTTCCTGATCATCAGTTTTTATAGTCATTCACACTGGAACCACAGAGGATTATCTGCCGCTGGATTCTTGGGATTGAGAACATGAGGGCCAGGACATGATCAAAGCTGGGTTCCAGACAGGGAACAATCTGCAGCACTGCATAATCAGGCACGCAGGTGCATCTTTCCTCTGTCAATCAAGCACAGTCCTTCCCAGTGAGGGGACCTACCTGGAAGTCTGTAGTTCCTTGAGAGGGGCCAGGTAGTGGCTCTTCTTTAGGACAAATGATAATTTTGGAGTTTTTAATCTGTTTCCAAACCATCTCTTTTAGGTCCCTTCTGAAGAGGTCCTTCAGCCATAAGTACTGCAGATTCCGGTGAGCCTGTTGTATCTCCTTTGTCTGCTCCTTCAGCAGAGCTACCTGATCCATACATATTTGGCTTAATTCATTCCTGAGTAGTCCCCTAATTTCCTCTACATCCTTTCTGAGAAGTTCCCTCATCTTTGCATGTTCTACAGCCAATTCCTCCCTCAGTATATCTTTTATATAATTTCTGAGGAGTTTCTTCCATCGTGTGTGATGCCAATCAGCTTGCTCCTTTATGTCCTCCTTCTTCTTGACCGAAGGAAGTCTTGAATGCACTTGTGCATTTTTTCTATCATGTTTCTTCTTCCCTTCAGTCATTTTCTGCTAATGAGAAAAAGGAGATTAGTTTGCTTGTCTTTGTTCTCAGATTTATTGCTGTTGTTGTTGTTGGTAGTGTTTGGGAATGCCTTTTTTTTTCAAAGTGGCTTTGTCCTTGCAGGTATAGGGAACAGATTGGGAAAGTAGGGAGCACACTTTAATACCTTTGTTTCTTCATATGCATATATATAGGTATATAAGGGATGTATATTTCCTTAGGTCTCTTTCTGCAGGGATCCCTGGCTAAGTGTAGATTTTATCTCTCAGTACAGGCACTAGAGACAATTAGAAACTGGGGCAAAACTAAATCTATAAACTTGGCAGGAGTGTGAAATGTAATGGCACTACAATGGCATCCTGAAGAATGACCTCTTTTTAGCTTATCCTAACGTGCTGGTTATTATAGACACATTGTTCATAATGACAATCACATAATCAGGAGGCCTAAACTTATCATACATCATTAGGGGACATTATACAAATGAGAGAGAGCAAATCTTCCAGAATAAAGTTTACCTCAAATGTAAAGACAGTTTAAAATAAGATTTCATGGAAAATTACTAGATTCTAAGAGTGTATGTTTAGTTTAATTTATTTATGTACATGTGTGCCCAACAATTTGAATATGTACCATGTGTGTGCTGATCTCTTAGAGACCTGTATCAGGCATCAGATCCCTTGGAATTGGAAATGCAGGTGGTTGTATGTTACTGTGTGAGTTCTGGAAACTAAATGCAGGGCCTCTTGATGGAATAGTAAGAGTTTCTCTTCAGCCCTTTTTTAAAAGATTAGGTTTATAGTTTATGTGTAATGATTTTATGCTTTACAAAATATTTCTAGATAAATGTGAGCAAAATATTAGAAACAAATATACAATGCTTTATGAAGGAAAATTCAGATATGACTGATATGAATTACATGTAGAATGATAAATTGACCAGGTCACATGCACATTTTACTTAGTTACTTTTAGAGGGAGAGCAAATGATATTTGCTTGAGATTGTGTCTCCTAGGAAGGCCGAAGTAGCTGCAATCATTGAGTTTTATCAACATGGCCACCTAAACATGACCTGAACAAAGATGGCACCAATGGACACACTATGTCATGGAGCCTCGCCTGTATATAAAGAACTATGGACAATAGGGACTGCTGAGGGATGGAGAGATGGTCTTTCCCCAGGGACTTGCCTCCCACAATGAATTATCTACCTTTCCATTGCAGAAAGTACGTCAAAGGGCAGAAATGATAAAACACGACCTCAAATGTATCCTTGAAAAAACTTTGGAACAAGCAAGAGAGAAAAGGGGCAAAGACGAGATTTCAAAAACTTTTAAGAAGACGTGATGGAGCTGTTTGTCCTCAGAGACAGCCACTACAAAATAGCTCTGAAGGACATTCAAAACCACTTTATTCTTTAGTATTCACAGGGTACTGACAAATAGTTGTATCTAATTTTAGCAATGAAATATTTTCAAATACATTTACCTATTCACAAATTACTAGGGCATCATTAAGAAGTAAAAATATTTATGCTGGCCTAGGATATGAGAAAATCATGAACTAAGAATCTTGGCCTTGCCGTTGTGGTTTGGGCTAAAGTTATAAAACATCTAAATCCTGTGTAAGAGGATTGATTATTAATGTTAATAGTCCCACTTTCATCAGTCTTTCCCTTCTTCCATGGTTGGGAAGTAAAAATGCACATTAATTTCCATTCATATTCTTCTTTTAAAAATAAGCACTGATTTAATTACTAGTGTCGTCCATATCATAGTACCTGTGAAACTGCCTTTGAAACCCATTTGTTCATCGTTCACAGTCAAAATCATTAAAACACAACCTATGGTTCACATAAGCTCTCACTCTAGTGCTCAGGTTACACACACCTCTAGGAGCTCATGGTTATGAAAAAGTTTTAATATGAATATTATATATTTACATAAAAACCTTCTATTTCAAATCTTAGAATGTAAGTGTATATTATTTTTAAATGAAAAACAAAAAAAATTGAAATGTTACTGTATGGTAGGAGTCATCAGTTCCAACACTGGTAGAAATGTGATGGGGAAATCACATTGTTTAGCTAGATGAGGAGTTGTGAACACGTCCTCAGTCGAGTCAGACAGGAACACAATGCAAACCGTGATGAGTAGTTTGCATGTGTCTAAATTTCCACAGCTTCTGGTTTGTCTACATACAGAACAAACACAGATATAGAGGAGATGCCCTCATATATGATCAGAGAATAGGAGCATCCAAGGGAACATAAAACCTACCTTCATTTTTGCTAAAAGTAAAGGTAACTGGGAGGTTCCTGGATCACTGAAATTCCTACCTGGAACCACTCGAGAGTGTACAGGTGGACTGTCGGAAAGATGCTTTAAAATCACTCCAATGTGCACTTGTTTCTGCAAACAATCCTTGGTCAAATATCAAACATCTTCTATTGTGGGAGAACTCACAATATGTTTCAAGGCCATTCTCTTAACAGGTCACCACTACCTGCTTACTTGAAAGTTAGTGAAAGGAAGTTTCAGACCTACAGAATGGTGTCCTCTGACCAGCTTCCCTAGGAAACTTGGATAGGTGGATAGTGCTGCATTTTAACACAATTCATAAGAAAATGAATTTCACAAAGGAGCATTTTACCGTAATAACACCGCCCTCTGTCATAGACCAAGAAACATCAGGTTTGTCTGAGAACCTTTAGGATAAAAACATGCAACAATGGAAGGATTTGGTCATTTGAACAGCTCTGGAGAGAGATCCATTACTTAATTAAGTAACATTTCTGCATTTATGTAATTTAAAGTCAACCTATGTTTTAAAGTTTTCAGTTGTCTTTGTGGGTTTAACTTATCTCAATCTATCAAACATTTAACCAAGACTTACTCAAGCTCAAGTTTAAAAGGAAAAAGTCAGTAGCTTAGGAAATGGGTCAGAAAATCAGAGTGCTTGTTGCCCACACACAGTGACCAGACTGTGAATCTGCATCACACACATCAGAACTGAGCATGCACTTGGAGTCCCAGTACTGTGGGTGGCAGAGACAGGGGCATCACGGGGACTTGTTGGCTGCAAGTCTAGGCCCACATTCATGAGAGACCTTATATCAAGTGGATAAGATAGAGAATGACTTAACTTCTGAATTGATATGATATGGTTCTGCACCTTGAGGCCAGTAAACACATGTCCAATTAATCTCTACAGAAGGACAAGAGTTGGACCATAATACAAATAGTCAACTCTTGGGGCAGCAGTTGTCTAATCAGTTCTAAAGAGGTTTTAATAACCTAGATACTTTGAAAACTGACTGTGGTTACTATAAGATACTGTAAGCATTGCACGCGTGGTATTATGTCTACCTCAAGGTACACTCGACAATAATACTTCCTTATCTTTGGGCTTACCAATTACTTCATGCATTTTTAATTTATATATTCTTATCTGGATAAAAACTTCTGTTGAATATTGTTGTCCACTTCTAAACGTAAATGAAAAATATATTTTATAATGATCAGGTAAGCCACCTGTAGATCTTTTCTGCTCCCTCTATTCTCTCAGACCGAATCCTTCAGTCTTATCCTTAGTGCTACAAGAGAACTAGCTCAAGTCTCTCTCCCACTGCACTGTCAACATCTTCTGTGGATCCCATAGACCATCCACTCCTAACACTCCTCCCCCATTCATTGTTCACCAGCCTCCAACTTTAGCAGCTACCTCCTGTTCAGACACAAGCCATACCTGCCAGAACACCAGGTAGGCTGCCCACAGATCTCAGCACACTCTGTGTGTTCCTCTAGACCCAGTCCCTCAGTCTCTTCCCTAGAGCATCAACAGATCACCAGCTACAACCGCACTTCCTCTCTGCCCATGTCTCTTATGGAACCCACCGAATGTCTCTTCCTAACCTTCCTCCCAACAAGACATCACTGAATCCCAGCCTCCAACACTTGTAGCCATTTTCTGTGAACAGTTATGTGGCTTGGGCAATCTGTGCAGCAGCCGGCAGTGGGACAAGGATTTATCCCTAGTGCTTGAATTGGCTATTTGGAGCCCAATCTTTTTAGAGTGATGCCTTGCTCAGTCTAGATATAGTGAGGAGGGCCTTAGTTCTGCTTCAGACAGATATGTCAGAGTTTGCTGATTCCCCATGGAAAGCTTTATCATCTCTCGGGAGTGAATGGGGGCAGGGTGGGGGAAGGTGTAGAAGAGTGGGAGGAGGAGAGGGAATGGAGACTGGGATAGGTATGTAAAATGAGAAAAGATTGCTTAAATAAAAAGTTGTTTCTTAAAAAATAAAGAAAAAGAAATCCAAGAAAATACAAACAATTGGAAGACAACAATAATTCCCCTAAATAAAGTGAGGAAGAAATACAAAAAGCCAAATAGTTGAAGGGAAAAATAAAACTGTTCAAGACCTAAAAATGCAACACATAAACATAATGATACAATACAGAATGAAAAATTTAGGAATTCGAACAGAAACTTTCAACAGAACACAAGAGATAAATAAAAAAGAGAAGCTCAGGCATTAAAGACTCAATGTAAGAAATGGATAGATTAGTCAAAGACAATATTAAACCTAATATATTTAAACTATACATCTGGGAAATATGGGACACTAAACCTTAGAACAATAGCAATAGAGGAAGGAGAAGAATCCCAGATCAAATCCCTTAAAATATGTTCAAAAATCATTGAAGAAAATTTCCTAATAATAAGGATATAATTATAAAGGTACAAAAAGCATACAGAGCACCATATAGATTGCCATATAATAACCAAAACACTAAACATACAGAACAAATAAAGAACATTGCAAACTGCAGGGGAAGAAACCAAGTAAGACATAAGGGTAGAAACCTGAATTCTTAAAGAAGTCTCTAAAATCCAGAAGGCCTGGACAAATGTCCTGCACCTTAAGAGACAACAGATACTAGCCCAGACTAATATCATCAACAAAAATTTCATTAGATGGAGAAAATAAGATATTTTATGATAAAGACAATATCTATTTATAAATCCAGTCCTACATAAGGTGCTAGGAGGAAAACCCCAAACTAAGGAGGTTAACTACACCCATGAAAACACAGAAAATAATCTCACACCAGCAAAACCAAAAGAAGGAAAGCATACACACACATACACATTTACACTCAAAGACACACACCACCACCACCACCACCACCACCAACAGCAAATGACAGCAATCAACATCTCCCAATATCAATGCCCTCAATTTCATAATGAAAAACAGATTAACAGAATGAATTCAAAGACATGATCCATTGTTCTGTTGCATCCAGAAAACGAACTTCAACATTTAGGATAGACGTTGCCTCAGTGTAAAAGGTTAGAAAAAGCTATTTCAATCAAATGAACCTAGAAGGTAGCTAGTGTAACCATTTTAATATCTAACAAAATAGACTTCAAAACAAAATAAATTAAAGAATATGGATATGGACACTACACACTCATAAAAGGGAAAATCCACCAAGAAGACATTTCAATTCTTAACATCTATGCCCCAAACACGAGACCTTCAACTTTGTAAAAGAAACATTGCTACAGCTTAAATTGCATATTGACCCACACACACTGACAGTGAGTAAATACTCCAGTATCGCCAATGGACAGGTCATCCAAACAAAAAGGTAAACAGGAAGCATTGGAGCTAACAGACACGATAAACCAATGGACCTAAGAGATATTTATGGAACACTACACCAAATACAAAAGAATATACTTTTTAATCAGCATTTATGCATCTTTCTCCAAAGTGGATCACATTCATGGGCAGAAAGCAAATCTCAACAGATGAAGCAAATTGAAATCACCCTATCACACCACCATGGATTAAACCTGGATATGAACAATAACAGAAAGAACAAAAAGCTTACAAAATCATGGAAACTTAGCAACTCTGTAATGAATGAAAAATGGGTCAAAGCAAAAACAATTGAAAGATATTAAAATTTTGTAGAAAGCAATTAAAATGAATGTGCAGCACACACACAAACTTATAGAACACGGTAAAGTGGTGCTGAGAGGAAAATGCACAGCACTGAGTGCCTGTCTAAAATTGGGGAAATCTCATAACAACTCAACAACACACCTGAAAGCTCTAGAACAAAAAGAAGAACCCAAGAGGAGTAGACTACAAGAAATGATAAACTGGGGCCTGAAATCAATGAAGTAGAAACAAAGTGAGCAGTACAAAAAGGATCAATGAAACAAAGAATTTATTCTTTGAGAAAATCAACATGATAGAAAAAAACAAACTTACCCAAACTTACTAAATGATGGAGAGAAGATATTTGGATTAACAAAATGAGAAGCAAAAAGGAGGACATAACACTAGGCATCAAAGAAATCCAAGAATCATAAGGAGACATACTTTAGCAACGTGTATACCAAGAAATCGGAAAAATAGAAGAAAAGAAAGTTTTGTTGATAAGCATCACTTATCAAAGTTAAATAAAGATTAGATAAACAATTTAAACAGACCTCTAATCCCTAGTAAAATAGTAGCAGCCATCAGAAGTCTCCCAACCAGAGAAAACCAGGCAAGACAGTTTCAGTACAGAATTTCATCAGACTTTAAAGAAGAATTAATGCTAATGGTCCTTAAACTATTCCACAAAATAGAAATAAACATTGTCAAATTTATTTAATGAGGCCACAATCACCCTGATACCCAGATCCCACAAAGATTATGGACGTCAGCATTTAGAGAGAAAGAAAAACATATTTTAATCAAGCATAGAAAACTATAGCAGTAAAATGACAAGATGATGATTTCTTGATATGGATTGCATGAAGCCCTCCTATAGCATATTCTTCAGAGAATATTCATGAATAGACAATTAGCACTTACTTCTGCTTTTTGCATATTTCCAGTACAAGGAAATGACATCAATTTATTGAATCTAAATTCATAAATTAAACTGCTATGCACAATGGACATGACTCTAGCTGACCAACAGAAAGTGATATGCTTACCAGTATCATTGTCAAAGCCTGACTGTATCAAAGAAACAGCATGTTTCTGTGGTAGTAGCTGTGACTTAGCTCTGAACTAATTGTGTCCATAGAATACTCAGTGTTTTCAATTTGTAAAGAAACAAGCTTCTCCAAATACTGAGTTAAAATTATTCAGTTAACACAATCCCAGAGAACCTAGATAACAATGAGGAACCTAAGAGAGAGATACATAGATCTAATCTACATGGGAAGTAGAAAAAGACAAGATCTCCTGAGTAAATTGGGAGCATGGGGACCTTGGGGAAGCATTGAAGCGAAGTGAAGAGACAGGGAGGGGAGCAGGGGAAAATGTAGAGCTCAATAAAATCAATCAATAAAAAAATAAGATAAATTGTTTAGTTAAATCAAAACCTCTCTGGGATAAGGAAGCTAGGCTGTTCACATCTGGGAAAGATACTAATAAACTCTTTGGATCTAACTCTGGTCCCTGTCTTACAGGATAAAGTAGTATAAAGGATGATCTTGTCAGCTTCCACTGCTTCTCATGAACAGAACAAAGGGAAAGGTCCCTCCCACAAGAGTTATGTACCCTGAAGTGCACCTCTTGTTGAGAGAGAAGCAGAGAAGGAGCAGGGCAACAGTTTTTCTAAGAGTGTTATCTGACCTGAATAAATTTATGTGGTTAAATGTATAAATTAGGGTCTCACTAACTCTTTCCTCATACTGTTGTTCTCCACAAAAAGACACTAATGATTCCTGTATATTTCATTCAAATAATTTAATCATTTTATTAGGCATAAAATAATAAAAAGGATTAAATATTGTACCTTTGGGTTGTGACATAATAGTATTTTAGAGATAGTATCTGTATAATGATATGCATACACAATACAATGTGTTTATTGTTAAAAGCTAAAAGAAATATCTGTTTTTTATAAAAAGTCAACTTGTTACTGTGTGACTATAAGGAACCCATATTGTGTAATAGTGTTTTTCCCTTATTTTTACCAAGATAATAGTCACTAAAATGAAAAACACCAACATTTTTTAGATAGTATCTTTTCAGACCTGAAATTTTTCTTAAGTAATTCTGCCTTCAAAAATGCAGACTTCCTGCATTCAAAAAGACAAAGAATCAATTTAACTGCAATTTTCATGTGGTTTCCTTAACTCCCTATTTGAACTGTTTACATTTTTATTTTTATTTAGTGCTTAGACCACTTAGCATTTGTCATTTTCAAACTTTTACTTGGGACTGGAGAGATGGCTCAGCAGTTAAGAGCACGGCTTGTCTTTAAGAGAATCCAGGCCCAGTTTGCAGCCACCACACAGTGGCTCACAATCACCAGTTGCAAGTGTCCAACCCCATCTTCTGACCTCCACAGGCACCAAGCCCACATGTGGCGATGCATACACATGTGCAGAAAATACACAATCTTTAAAAGGTTTAGTCTTATCATCTCTGATCTGTACAGACACAGATGTTTGAAATACAGATTTCACCTGCTCCAGAGGTACAGCTTCACTGTGAAATATTTTTAAAGTAATAATTAAAATTCACATGAAAAACATTTACCAAATACTTTTAATTCTTTCTTTTTGATTTCCTAATATATTTTACATTAGGCATTTACAAAAAACTTAATTTGTGCTTCAGTGGTTAACTATGATTAGTGAATGGTTTCCTTACAACTTTTTCTCATGTCGAAGACAGGGAATAATTTACACCCTGATTAATACAACACATACACTAGCGTGTTGTTCAGTCTCCATAAGTTTGTGTATATTCCAGGCATTGCTAAGAAGAATGTATATTCTGAAGTATTTGGATAGGATGTTCTATAGATGTCAGTTAGGTCTATTTGATGGTATGTCATTTAACTCAGATGTCTCTGTCTTTGAGAAATAAATTATCACAAGATTTAAGAAAAAATTATAAAATTCTCTAAAATTGACGAATGTAAAAGTGCTTGATCTTTGGTATACAGTTACCGTCATATTCAAAAGAAATCAATAGCTATTAGTATTAATAGTATATTAATTAGTATATTAAAAAATATAATAATTTATATAATTTTATTAATTATAAAAATAGTAATTAATTAGTATATTAAAAACAGTAAGAAACATCTCAAATAACTTAATGATGTATATTAGAGCCACAGAGAAACAGGAACATAGCAAAGCCAAATTAGTAGGTAGAACTTAACATGAAGGCAGAAATCAATGAACACACACAAACACACACATATACACACAAGAAGGAATAAGGAAGTTCTTCCACACACTTTGTTCTGAGGGCTGAAGAAACTGAAAGCTTTGGGCTTATGTGCTCAATGCACTCAATGCTGCTATTTCATTCTCCTTCCCATGGCCCTAGAGCACTATGGTCCCTTCAGTATAAGAAACATTTGAAGGGCCATGGAACTCTGAAACTCAGCTTGCTCCCATACTGAGGGGATCTAAGAGGTAAAAGAACAGACACAAGGCTGGATGCCCCACTCTTTAGGACCTCCCCAGTGGGATAAAACCCAGGGCCCTTCCCCAACTCTCTTGGCTTTTCTAGCCAGCCAGCAATGAGTTTCTGGCGGCTAGGTTCCCCCCAAACCCAAATCCATCCACTGGACCTCCCAAGCTACTAACCACACCCCGCCTAAGAGCTGAGAGCTTGCTACAATATCGAGCAGATCAAGAGTATGCTGCGACACTTAGCGGTTTAAGAGAGAACACCAAGAGAGCAAACCAGAAGAGAAGACCAAGAGAACAGAGACCTCAGAGGGTTTCTGAGACAGACATTGACAGTACAGGGCAGACCAAGAGAAACTCTCAAATACTCAGACATCCGAAGCAAAGATTGGACCAAGAAGCAAAGACACTGCTGGCCTCATTTGAAGGAAGAGATGGGCAGGCACCAATGCAAGAATTCCTCCACAATGTAAAAATCAGCAAGGTAAGACCAGAGCCCAGTGGACACACAACGGGAAGACTTGATCAGTCTAACCTGGAAGAAGCAGAAGAAAATTACTTTAAACTTAACTTTATGAAAATGATGGTGGCCTTTAAAGAGGAAGTGGAAAAAGTCCCTTAAAGAAGTGGAAGAGAAGATAAACAAAAAATTGGAAGAAATTAACAAATCCCTCAAAGAAAACCAAGAAACATTTTAGGCATTTCATTGAGTGTCATGTTCTCTCCCGAGAGGTTGTTTGGTAGAACATGAAACTGATCTCTACCTCTAAGCACTGAAGAGGCAGCACTCTCAGAGTCACCATCTTTTGGTGCTTTAAAGCTGCTTTTGATAGTCTGTTCACAGGTTTGTGATGAACTTTCGCATGGCTATTTTAATGCTCAGCAAACATTTCTGTATAGTGCTGAGTCTTTATAGAACACTGGGGAGCAACACGGCCCTCTCAGCTCCACTCCATCTGAACTACAGCTTACGGCTCCAAAGGTCAGGGCTTGTAGTTGGTAAGCTCTGGAAGAACCAATTCATTTTGCAACCTTCCACCTACCTTGATTTCCCCACTGTTGTGGAACTCTTCATGAGAGCTGTTTACCTATGTGCAGAATCATGTCCAAAAGCCCATTCTTAAGGAAACTTCAGCAAAGCCTGGAAGGGTCTTAAACCCGCCTTGAAATTCACACCCTTGCCAGCAGATAACTTGACCCAGACATATTACTGACCTGAATTAATGACCTGAAAGCTAATATTTTAAATAAATGTGTATGACCCGTATGCAGTTAACTTGCATACATGTGTGATTTCAAGAACATATATGCATGCCAGGGTGTAAATGTGGCTGGGTCTCTTGTTTTGAAAACAAATGCTCAACTAACTATTGAGTAAACTTCTGGGGATTCTCTGTATCCTTCCCATCTCACTCGAAGCTCCCAAGATTACAGATGCACCAAGACCATCAGGCCTCATGTGAATTCTGGGCATCCAAACTCCCATTATCACTCATGTGTGGCAAGCACTTTACCAACTGAACCATCTCTCTAGTCATGGATTCATAACAGTCTTTCAAACTATAACTGGGTGTAATTAGCAATTTCAAAATCATGTGCTGTACAAATAATTACTCAACTTGTGATTAAAGAAGAAATAAAGATGGCGATACTGACTTACACAGAGGAAAGCACAGTGCCAGTTTCCAAAGTTTATATTCTCCAGATTCTCAGTGTATTTTCAAACCCATACACTCTTACCTGATTGAAGTCTTCTGTTTAGCTCTTCCCTTCACTAGTAAAGACAAAGACAAAATGTGCTATAAACAACTGTAGAAAATATGACTATTAAATGCCAAGATTAAAGTTTTTTTAACCACATATACTTTGACACTAATTCTAGATAGTCTTCATGTGAATATTATTTATATACAACAAATATATGAAGAACACTTCATTTCCATTCCCTTTATATTTCAAAGACAAAGAGAAGTTAGTACTTTTAATAAATTGTTGTACAAATACCTATGACATGAATACTCTCAGACAGAGAAGGTGGCATCTTATCCTGAATCAGTATCCCAAACCGACAAGTTACAGAGATACTATTCTTTGGCTGATTTGAATTTTGTTTTTGTTCCAAGAGATGCTTATTGGCTCTTCTTAGCACCCCCCATGACTCAGGAAGGGGATTTGTACCACTGCCAAGTGTGATTGTGGCTCAGTGGTAAAGCTTAAGTAAATCATGTGGAAGCTCAGCCAGTCCTCATCACTATAAATGCAAAGAATAATAAAATTCACAATAACATGATACAAGAACCTTACGTGTATTATCATAATACCAACTCTTTTCATGTTACCTCTTAAGGGAAGAAGGTCATTTGGATTCACTACCTTGTGTGGTTGCCCATGACAAGTTAGGTACAAAAACTCTGTGATGACAGTTGCTCAAAGAACAAACTCTACAGTGTTCCTTCCACCGTCACAGAGGCTCTCTAGACTCCGTAGAGATGCAGCTAATACTTTGGAATACAGAATGATGTCATTTGTCCAACTCTCCTCATCATGCACAAAATTTTCTAAAAATTGTGCTTTGTAGTGTGTAAGCCATATTTTCTCATACCCTGATGTCCTTAACAAATACTAAACATTCTAAGGGCAGAGTTCATAGGAAGGACGCATGCCAGAATGTGCACAAACTCTTAGGTTCAATGCCCAGAACTTCAAAAGTCCAAAATCAAAGAGAAACAAAGAAAATAAGAACATATAGGGGCTGAATAGTCTTCCTCATAAAGCCTATCACACTTACTAAGACATGGCATTGTCATTCAACAATTGGAGATAATTAAACATAACCTTTTTTTCTTTCTTTCTTTTTTAAAAAACTACCTTTTCTCAATTTACATACAAGTCCCACTTTTCACTCCCTCCCCTCCTCCTGCTCCCTCCACCTCCCCCCATTCCTATCCTTGCATCAATTCCTCATAAGTAAGCCTTCCCACCTGGAGTCAGCAAAGTCTAGCACATTGCTTTGAGGCAGGATCAAGGCCCTCCCCACTATATCTAGGCTGAACAAGCTTACCCCCCCCCATAAAAAAAATGGGTTCTCAAATCCCAGTACAAGCAGTAGGGTAAATTCTGGTCTTAATTCCAGTGGCCCAACAGTCCTACCCAACCATACTACTGTCACCCACATTCAGAGGGCTTAGTTTGGACCTATGCGGTTTCCCTCCCTGTCATGTCAGAGTTGATGAGCCCCCATTAGCTCAGGAAGCTGTTCAGTGGCTATTCCCATCATGGTCTTGACTGCCTTTCTCACTGTAAACAGTGCCTCCTTTTGGTTTCTTGGTCACCAAAACTGGAATAATCACACAGAAACTATATTAATTCCAACACTGTTTGACCTTTTTTGCTGACTTCTTAACTAACTCTTATATCTTAGGTTTACCCATTTCTTTTTATTGTTTATAATGAGGTACATATTTTTCTCCACTCCTCTCCCTTCCTCCTCCCTCTGCTTTTACCCTATCTTGTGATCTTCATGCTCTCAATTTACTCAGGAGATCTTGACTTTTTCTACTTTCCATGTAGATTAGACCCATGTGTCTCTCTTAGAGTCCTCTCTTTGTTGTCTAGGTTTTCTGTGATTGGGAACAGTAGACTGGTTTTTATTTGTTTGATGTCTAAAAGACACTTATGAAGGAACACATATTATGTTTGTCTTTCTGGGTCTGGGTTACCTCACTCAGGATGGATTTTTTCTACTTCCAAACATTTGCATGCAAATTTCAAGATCTCTTAGTTTTTTACTGCTGAGTAGTAGTCCATTGTATACATGGACCACATCTTCTTTATCTACTCTTTGATCGAGGAGCATTTAAGTTGTTTCCAGGTTCTGGCTATGACGAATAATGTTGCTATGAACACACTTGAGCACATGTCCTTGTGGTGTGATTGAGCATTCTCTGGGTATATACCCAAAAGTGGTATTGTGGGGACTTGAGAAAGGTTGTTTCCTAATTTTTTGATAAATCACCATACTGATATCAAAAGGAGCTGTACCAGTTTACACTCCCACCAGCAATGCAGGAGTTTTCCCTTTCCCCCACATCCTCTCTAGCATAAGTTGTCATCAGTGTTTTTGGTCTTGGTCACTCTTATAGGTGTAAGATGGAATCTCAGAGTTGTTTTGATTTCCATTTCTCTGATATCTAATGATGTTAAGCATTTCCTTAAGTGTCTTTCAGTCATTGTAGATTCATCTGTTGAGAGTTCTATGTTTAGGTCCCCATTTTTTTATTGGATTATTTGTTCTTTTGATGATCAATTTCCTGAGTTCTTTGTATATTTTGGAGATCAGACCTTTGTCTGATGTGGGGTTAATGAAGATCTTTACCCATTCTGTAGGCTGTCATTTGGTCTTGCTGACTATGTCCTTTGCTTTACAGAAGGTTTTCAGTTTCAGGAGGTCCCATTTATGAATTGTTTCTCTCAGTGTCTGTGCTACTGGAGTTATATTTAGGAAGTGGTCTCTGGTGCCAATGTATTCAAGTGTACTTCCCACTTTCTCTTCTATAAGGTTCAGTGTGGCTAACTTCACGTTGAAGTCTTTGATCCATTTGAAGTTGAGTTTTGTACATGATAGATATTTGTCTATTTTCATTCTTCTACATGCTGATATCCAGTTGTGCTAGCACCACTTGTTGCTTTCTTTTTTTCATTTGAATTTTTTTTTGCTTCTTTGTCAAAATCAGGTGTGTGGATTCATATCTGGGCCTTCGATTCGGTTCCATTGGTCCTCCTGTCTGTTTTTATGCCAATACCAGGCTGTTTTTAGTACTGTAGCTCTGTAGTAGAGTTTGAAGTCAGGGATTGTGATGCTTCCAGAAGTTCTTTTATTGCACAGGATTGTTTTGGCTATCTGGGTTTTTTGCTTTTCCATATGAAACTGAGTACCTTCTTTTGATGTCTATGAAGAATTTTGATAGGATTTTGCTGGGTATTGCATTGAATCTGTAGATTGCTTTTGGTAAGATTGTCATTTTTACTATGTTAATTTTATCTACCTAAAAGCATGGGAGATCTTTCCACTTTCTGGTGTCTTCTTCGATTTCTGTCTTTAAAGATTTAACGTATGTTCCTTGTATCCCTGCTCTCTCCAAGAAGGAATGTTGTATTTTGTCGAAGGTCTTTTCAGCATCTAATGAGATGACCATGTTTTTTTTTTTCAGTTTGTTTATGTGGTGAATTAATCTATGGGATGAATCCGACCTACTTGGTCATAGGGAATGATTTTTCTTATGTGCTCTTGGATTCAGTTTGCTAGTATTTTATTGAGCATTTTTGTATCAATGTTCATAAGTAAGATTGGTCTGTATCTCTCTTTCTTAGTAATGTTTTTGCGTGGTTTGGGTATCAGGGTAATTGTAGTCTCCTCAAAAGAATTTGGCAATGTTACTTCTGTTTCTATTGTGTGGAACAATTTGAGGAGTATTAGCATTAGTTTTTTGAAAATTCTAGAATTCTGTAGAATTCGTGCAGAAACCATTTTGGTTAGAAGACTTTTGATGACTGTTTCTATTTCATTAGTGGTTATATGTCTATTTAATTTGCTTACCTGGTCTTGATTTAGTTTTGGCAAGTGATATTTATCCAGAAAATTGTCTATTTTCTTTAAGCTTTCCAGTTTTGTGGAGTACAGGTTTTCGAAGTATGACCTGACAACTCTCTGGATTTCCTCCATGTCTGTTGTTATGTTCCCTCTTTCTTTTATGATTTTGTTACTTTGGATATTCTCTGTTTGCCTTTTATTTAGTTGTGTATTTTGTTGACTTTTCTCAAAGAACCAACTCTTTGTCCCATTTATTCTTTGTATTGTTTTCTTTCATTCTATTTTATTGATTTCAGCTCTCAATTTGATTATTTCCTGCTGTCTAGTCCTCATGAGTGAGTTGTTTTCTTTTTGTCTAGAGTTTTCAGGTGTTCTGTTTACCGATTAGTGTGGGATTTTTCAGGTTCTTTTTTTTCCCCCGTGGAGGGCAAAGTGTCCCATATATATACACAGCATTGTAAGCATATGCAGTCTATATTACATTTGCTTCTGTCTGGTGTTTGCATGTCTGTCAGTCAGTCTAAGGGACAGATCTCAGGAGCCTTGTCCTGGTACTCCCCATCCCTACCTTCCTGTCCACACTGGAAACAGAGACAAAAGAGGCAGTGTCCCCAAGTTCAGAAGAAGCAAGCAGGAAGGGCTGCTCCACTTTGGCTCAGAATCCTATATGTGTGTTTGGGTGTGTATGTGCTTGTATGTACACTGGGAACTTGTATGCAATTATGTACAAAGGGAAGGGGGTTCATTGTCACAGAGGGTGGGGCAGGTGGGGTTGGTCCAGGCAAGGCCTGCCGGGATGGCTAGCTTACAAGTAGATCCGGAGCAGGTCTCCAGGCGCTGTGATGGTATTGCACTGAGGGCAGAGCTTCTTGGCGCCCAGAGTCCACAGCCAGTATCTTCACAATGCACATGCCAACACTGGATCGACGTTAGGGGCATAAAGTACGAATCCACGCAGATGAGGCATTTGTATTCATCCCTCCCGTGAGTGCTGCTGTTCAAGCTCCCTGACACGAGTCTTCAGGGCCTCAGAAGTAGTTACAGCTGAATCTTCGGTGATTTGTGGTTTCCCTTACTCCAGAGTGTCATCTCCATCCACATCCAGGTCAGCATCACTGTCTGGGTTCTCTTTGCCACTGCACAAGATGAAGCCGGAGCCTCGAAAGCCACCTTCTAGGAGTGTG